CCGACCCCGCTCCAAAACTAAGCCGAGATTGGCATACGTTTGAAGCGAATCCCCCCGCTACAAAGGGATTCTTGAAGGATTCAGGGGTCCTGAGACCCCCCCAAAAAAGCATCATGAGCACGGGCGTTTTGAAAACTAGCCCCCGAGGCCATCTGGGCTCGGGCAGCAATATTTGGAGGTCGGAGGGGTGCCGGAAAGCCTCAGATTGGAGAAACGAGCCCCCAATGATGCTGATGATGCTGGCACCCTTGACCAGCATCATCAGCATCACTGCGGCCCCGTTTCTCCATGAAGCTGTGCGGGGAGGGTGGGGTGGCCTTGGCCGCATTGCCCGCTCCTGGACGCAGCCCCTTAAATTTCTAGGTCTAGGTGTGCAAGGCCAAGTGCTGAGATGGCGGGGTTCTACACAGCCGCCTGCTGTGAATCAAATGCTTCCAGCTCCCGTCATGGAAGACAACATATTTCAACCTGATATGCTAGAATATTGGTGTGACTTTGAACATCCCTCGGTGTCCTGAGGACAGAGGTGGCAATGGCGACATTCTTCGCCATTTTCGCATCCCTGGCACAAGTTTGAAAATGATAGCTGGGCAGGGCGACTGCCCAGGCCGGGCATCGTATGTGAACATCAGAATCGAAATCTGAAACGCTGGCAGCAGCAGAGACATGCCGAATGACAGGCTAGGCCCAGATGCCCTCATGTTCGTGTCAAAGCACGAGCACTGGCCTTCGGCTTCCAGAACCAGGCACAAGGCCTGGCATGCAAAGCTTGCAAGCTGTGGGCTTTCTGTGGAGCATTGGCGCGTCGTGCAATAACGATTCCGAATGCTTCTCCCGCGACAAGGCACCGCCAGCCTGCAGAGCCCAGTTCCGTGGAGACGAGACCCTTCAGATGGAAATACGCGGGCCTCCTGTCAGGGCATTGCAAATTGCAAACGAGCGCTTCCCACATCAGAAAACTCTCAGCAGCTTGTTTCCCGAAGATGGACGACTATAAGCATTCTATCCCGTTCAGCGACACCATCAAGGAGATAACTGATGGATCATGATGGATCCGGTTGAGAACATCCCAAAAACTCTGCAGTCCCAAAGCCTGCCTGCTCCACACCTGCCAAGACTGAAGCTGGATAGCATTTGTTGGGTCGCAAGGGCCGACTGCCAGGTGCAGACACACAGTAGCCAAGGGGAAAGCAGATTTCTAGGTTTCTGAGCATGGCCATTAGACTGCAAATCTCGGAATACCGACCTGGGTGGGTGGCAGGAAAACCTCAGACCAAAACTCACGTGTTACATGGCTTTGGGGTTGCGAGACACGCATCTCGAAAGTTGCCACAAGCGGCCTCCTATAGGCAAGTCGAACATGTACGGCTCTGGGATGTAGTCGGAAAGCCTCATTCTGATCAAAAATATAAATGCTGGTAACACAGTCTTGCTTGAAACTGGAGGAGGCATGCTTGCAAAATGCATAGCATCGATCCATGTCAACTAGAGGACCATTGAAGCTCGGCACTGCACAGCACTTCCTAAGAAGTTGCAATCTGAAAGAGTTTTGAGCAAGGTGCCTGAGCGGGGTGACGCCATCCTGCCACCAGTCTTTTCCAGTATGCAAACCCCAAGATAAACCTACATCACAGACTGTCACATTCGGGTGTCCTCTTCAGAGCCTTCGGGGCTCAGCCTCGACAGCACAGCTTTGTCCAAGCAGGCCCACACCGATGTCCCGCAGCAGGGCAGGGTTCTTGAAGCCCTACATCCCGCCATGGTGCCACTTGGCCACTTGGCCGCCGACATTTCTGACAAACTAAGAGCCATAGGCGTGGAGGTGTCCTGTCTGCACACTTGGCTGCTCGGAGGTGTGAAACTGCCGAGGACGCTTTGCAGCTGGTCTTTCTTTGATGCAGTCCTCAGGCTTCTCCAGATAGCCGCCCTCAATTTTCACCTGCTCGTAAGAGGCCAGGTATCCAGATTCCAAGGGCTGATAATGACAAGAGTTCACCGGCTTAGTTTGAGGCCTGAGGATACTTAGTTTGCAAGACCCTGGAGTCAGGCAGGTTCTTTACGGAGCGAGTATCCCGTGCGGTACCGCAAAGTATCTGGGTCCGGAAAAAGTATACAGGAATAGTCTCTTTCCGCAAGTGTGGCACAAATCTTGCCAGCCGTCTGTTCGCAGGAATCTACAACATCTCCCAGAACACCCTTGTCAGATCCAAGACTTGCATTCAAATGTTGCGGGAAGTTGGCACCTCAAAAAACCGAAGCCCTTTGCGATTCCAACAACACAGCACCTTGAAGGCTACTGCACCTGACCCTGTCGGCCTTGGAACGCGCCGGAGTCTCCTGACCAACGCGAATTCAAAGTCTCGTAGCCGTCTCTATCCGCCGAGGCCCCAGGCCGGTGGGCGTTGGGGGCAAAGTCTCTGCCCACTCCCCTCTGCCTCTCCCTGCCGGCCGGCGCCATGCAGGTCTTCAACGTCAATGCGTTGTTTTGCACGCAGGCGTAGTCGACTTCCAGGAAAGGCCAGGGAGTCGGGCCTCAAAAAGCCGCCGATCCAGTGGACTTGCGCGCCTTTGGCTGGGCCGTCCCCCCACCTCCCCTCCTTCCCCCACCAAACGCTTTCATCACAGCGAGCTAGAAAACTTAAGCATGGCCGGGTTTCAGAAAGTACCTGGCAATGCTACGGTAAACAACATCATTCCCAAGAATTACAGCACTGGCCGTCTTTCGTGTGGATACTTGTCATATAGGGAATGAATGAATAGAAGAGACATCCTAATGGCAAATCAAAGTACTTGGGAGTCCCCTGCTTACACCTCAGAACTTGTGAAATCGCTGAAATTGCGACGGTGCGGAGTGGTAGTGGTAGTTCGCGCAAACACTGTCACAGCGGCGCCGAAGCTTGAACTCTCCCTTTTTCGCCAGTGGTTTCTAATAGAGAGAATCAATACTTATTGTCACTTTAGACGCAAGATTACTGCTCATTGCTACTTAGTACTGCAATACCATCAAATACGGTTCACGATGGAAAATACAAACTGGTTTTCACTAATGACTAATGTTTTTGGGATGTAGTGAATCATAATCCACCATCATCCACTATCAATACACTTTAGTTTGCAATCCACTCTTACCGATTATAAGTAAGTGCAACTAACCACTACGAATTCATGTGATTTACAGAATGATCAGAATGACTATACTGCAAATCAGCGCCCTTCCCCGCAGATCGCGGCGCAAGCCATCCAATGCCAACCCATTTTTGTTTTGCGCAGCTGTGGTGGCAGTCTGGCGCCAGGAGCCCGCCACACTCAAGGACTTCCAAGGAGTTGCCCGTGACAGGTGAAAAACGCAATGACACTGACTGGGTGGTGTGGTCTTCTTGCTGACGCGCTGGACCCAGGCCGCCAAGGTGGCACACGCTAGCGTTGATATTACCTCTGCATACCTCTGCTGACAAGGACATGCAAAGCACACTCGACCCGCAAGCTGTGCGCGCAAAGCAGAATGCAATGACCCTGCCTGCTCCACGCCTCCTGCAGAAGCAAGCATGTCTCAGCTGGCACTGCAGATGGTGCATGCAAACAACACCAAGAGTGGTCCATACATGAAGGTCTTTGGCATTTGCGCGTGGAACCCTTAGATGGCAATTCGCCTTAAGCCCCGGCCAAAGCCAAGTAACAAATCAAACAGCTGCTCTCCGCCTTCTAAAAGCAGGCTTGGCATGAATGGATCCGAAATGTAGTCCGAAAGCCTCGCGCCAGATCAAAGTTCAAGCTAGCCTTGTGCAGACTGTATTTCCCAAGGCAATTTCTGCTCTTGGCACCAGGGAGCTATGCGTCACATGCCGTGCTACCCACACTGCACCACAACCTGAACAGTTCCGGGACAACGTGCCTAAGAGGCGTGACGCCATCCTGCGCAAGGCCAACTGCTTCAACTCCATAGAAGCATCTTCCGGTCATCCTCCAAACTGATCACTGAAAGAACTGAAAAAATGCATAGACTCCTCACCAGAGCCATCTGGACTGAGCCTGGGGCCGGCATCTCATGTCATGAGCTTCTCTATGGCAAATGGCAAGCTTTGAGAGAGCGAGAGAGAACAAAAAAATGTGGATAGCGAGAGCGAGTCACGGGGAGAGACCGAGGAGAGGGAAAGGGGAAGAAGGAGGAGATGACTCTTTTGCTTAGAATAGATGGGTCAGCTGAACATGGATGTTGAATGAGGGCACTGCTGCCAAGATCTAAAGATGTTCGCTGCTCCAAGCCGGTGACATCTCTGAGAGACTCAAAGCCATGGGAGTGGAATTGTCCTGAGCAGGTCCAACGTGTTGAGGTCACTACATACCGCTGCTTACATGGCCGTGCATGCAGCACTTCCCAGACAGCAAACCGCTTTGGTCCTCCAATCCTACCTTCAGCCGCACCGGGGTTTCCGCCTCAGGAAGGCTGACTTGGGCGGACACGCAATTACGCCTGAACCTGACATTCAAATGATTGGTTGTGGAAAACTAAGAAACAGCTTGATGTTTACAGGCACTACTTTAAGGACCCATGATATCTCATGATCATCTTTTTCATCTGGGCACCTTCATGTTTGCTGTTGGACGCGCTGCTCATTTTAGCAATCTCGTTAGTACACCTTTTCGTGGCTTGCCTTAAACCGCAGACTTCCGACTGAGAACACCACCGAACTAACAGATGCCACAGCCGGACTGGGCGCCTCAGAGCCGGAAGCTGGCGTAAGTAGGTCTGAGGGTTTCTGACCAGACATCAGATCCAGCAAGAATGAGAGGAGAGCTGACTGCTTTTGCCTCCATCAGGTTGAGGTCACCAATGTGTTGCTAGGACTAGGCTGCCGGCTAGGCCCGGTGGCGGCTGGAAGGCGGGCATGGAGTCTGCGGAAAGCGAGCTACACCCAGTGCAGAACACCCTCCACAGCATGAATCCTACAAGCTGGCAAACAAGCACAGAAAAGAGAAAGCCCCCACAACGGAAACAGACATGTACTCAGAGGCTGGTTGAGGAAGCTTGCGGCTTGCCCTCCTCCCAGAGCAGATGTAGGTGATGGTGCCACCTTTTGCGGCTCCTGGTCGCCCGCTCTCTAACTCTCTTCAGTGGGGTTACAAAGTAGCATTTCAGATTTGATGGCTGATGTGGCTAACTGCCTCGGGATCACCGGCATGGGCTGACTTCACACTGAAGTCTTGGTCTTCTTTTTCTTCTTCGTTTAGGGTTCTGCACTACCCCAAGGCAGGGCTAGTGTAAAGTTGGCCACGCAAACTACGATGAGAACTTGTGGGGCCGCTCAGCACAATGGATCAGGCTTTCTCAGAAGTCTACTTGCATTGCATCGATTGCCTTAAGGACTGGACTGTACCTTGAATTCAATATTGAGTCGTTGGAGGCTGTGTTGTCCGCGCACTTGTAACGTACTGGACATGGCAAGTCTCTTTTCGTCTCTCTCCAACTTCTTGAATTCTAGGCTGCACACAGGCACCATGCCTGCAGGTCCCCAGGGATATCTGGCAGATCCAGCACATGTGCTTCAGAAATCTCCACTTTCCTTGGAACAACACTCAAAAATAGTGAGTTTCTGCAAAGAAGCCGGCGCATGCCTTGTAAGCATGTTGACACTTTGTTCAGAGTCCTTATCAAAGAGAAGCCTATACTCTGCCACTGACACGCTAAACAGGCTAAGCGGCAGCGGCTCCAATGGCACGGACATCGGGAGGTTCCAACTGATATCTGCCTTCGGCAAATGTCTTAACATCTCAACACAACTTCCTAGTAATACTGTGGTAGGTTCAGACCGTTCTCATAGTCTCCACAAGACTCCGAGGCATCAAACTATCCAACACAAACCCATAGAAGCAGCCTCTCCTCTGAAGTAACAGCTCCAGAGCGTCCGTTGCGCCTCTTCTTGATCCTTGGCCTGCTTGTCCTTGGACTTCCTGAGCAGCAGGAACAGCCCCCCTAAGGCCCCAGACTGTATCCCTTGAGTGGATACAGAACACTGCAGCTCTGGACCCTGGCCCCTCCAAATCTCTGATGAGAACTTCGAGAACATATTATTTTGGTGGTTCGGGGAGCTGTGGGAGTATGCAGCTTCGAGTCTTCCGCTGGCGGATCTCACCTAGTGGGCACAGGTGGCAATGACGACACTCTGCGCCATTCTGACCTCGGGCATTGCTTTGTCTTGAGGCTTGGGGCTGCTCAACCACTGCAATGACCTGCCTGACAGCATTACAGAAAGAAAGCTCCTCATTTCCATAATTATTGCGGACTGCCTCCAGTTCCCAAAGCAAGGCAACCAGTTCCCTGCTCTACCTCTCCCTGCAGCTTGGAGGCAGCCCTTCGGCTTCCAGAACCACGCGCAAGGCTTACCTCAGTGATGATTCAGTAGCCAGAGTTGGATCGTCGGGAACGTCAAGGCTCCATGACGACAGTGGCAGTTGTGACCGAAGCAACCGTCGTGGCATCACCATCGTTACAGCTACCAGTACCAAAACTCCTGCGCTCATTATTCAGCTTTCCTACCGATAGTAGTAGTACTAGCACTACTGGTACTGCTTCGCTTGTCGAAAATACTGGCAGGCGCAGCACTCGCAATTTTAGGGGCCCAAAACCTTTTCCGAAACCTTCTCTTTGGTGGTTTTCGGGTTAAGCAGCAGAAAATAGATGCTCCCGAACGCTCCTGTTATTCTGGCTTGGAAGGTTTGCTGTGTGAATCGTGGAATCGTATGCTCTCGGACATTCAAGCCATTATGTTTGAAGCATGTGTGTTCTGGGAAATGCATGCTCTTGAATATTCACGCTAGTATGGTTTGGGCATGTGTGCTCTAGAAGCGTATGCTGCCGCGACGATGGGAGTAGCAGCAACAAGAGTAGGAGGAGTAGCAGCAGGAGAAAGAGGCGTGGTAACAGTAAGCAAGAGTGGCCTTGTTCTGCGGTAGCTGTAGCGATAAGCACGGTGGCATCAAAACTCAAAGACACCCACATCCTCCAAAACAAGTGCAGTGCAAAGCGCACTCTCCAGTGCCATGCAGGGCCGATCCTACGGACGGAGTTGGTTGCCGATCGGCTACCTCCGAAGCAAGGGGCAGAGCCCCACACGTTTGTGTCTAGCTTGGGCTCTTGGATTGAGTTCCTAGAGTGGGACCTTGAGCAAGACTGCTACCTGGAACGAAAAACGCAAGAGCTGTTCCCACCTCAGCCTCGGAGTCTTCCTGGCATGGAGGATCAGAAGTCTTTATCGACATGTGCAAAGTAGTGCAAGGTGCGAAAATGCTTGAACCAGCCACAGATTCCACGCGCCCTGAGACCTGAATCCTTCAATCCACATGTCCACCGCTGGCTGCCTTTCGCAGCTTAGCCGCCGACGAAGCGCTCCATGGGGAAGGGGAGGTTGGGCTGGAGCCACCTTGAGTGCGTTCGCAGAACTGGTATCTGAGTGGATGAGATTCATAAGGCTTGCGAAGCCCTGTGCACATGAGCTCATGAATCACAACCACTCATGATGCGGGTTCTGCCTCGCATAGCAGCTAACTTGGCCTTCTTCCTGCAAAGGACATGCACTGATTATGGAGTATCAATAAAAAGCTCTGCCGAAGCAAATCAATGGGCAGTGAGAAGGCAATGCAACCTGAGAGGAGACTCCTTCCAGAGGAGGGAACCAACATGATGGTCAGACTAGAACAAGTTTTGCAAGACAAGCAGGTGAAGAAACCATTCATCTAGATACAGCATGCACAGGCAGCAAAGTATGCGCGATTGACAGTCCTGAGTTTCACTTCACCTTCAGGGCAAAGATGACAATACCCACCTGAGCCGCAAGAAAGCCCAAATGAGCATCTGTTCAAACCGGAAACCACGACATCGCTTGAAATGAATTCATTTTCGAATCTGGATGAGATCTACATATACCAATCACCAGTCATCAGCTGACTGTTCACGTCGCTTCTGCTCAAATTTTCCCTGCAAACCTGTTTCTCTAAGTCATCAGTGTGTGCGAATATGTGACTGAGTGAGTGATTGAGTCAGCGAGTGAGTGGTGACACCCGAGCATTCGCTATGCGAATTTTGTCCCCTTCTGCAGCTCTGAGATGCTCTGAGCGAAGACCCAGAGAACCCCCCACACACAGAGCTCAATCGTTCTCTAAGTCGTTAGCAGTGCCCACTTACCGCGGACCGCCGCGGTCACCGATTCGGGCGCTTGGCAAGCGGTGCTGTTGAAGCACTGAGTTCAGCGCATTCTTGTCCTCGCAGGCAGCCTTGGGGCTTCCAGTACCACGCACATGGATTGCACCTGGGCTCACGCAAACTTGACAAATACACAGACATCCAGGTGTGCAAGGCAGTAGATATGCAGTGAAGCTTGCTGAGCTAGCTTGCCAAGTCTCAAGGGCTGATGTCGGATCACGTGGGTTTGCTGAATTTGCAGTAGAAAACCCTTTGCAAAGCAGTTCGACGGGACTGCTAAGAACTTTGCTCTCCCTCGCCATGCTGTCTCGATCCAGGCGTCTCTGCGCCTTGCAAAGGGTCAGCACACTCAACCAAATATACAGATGCCTTGGTGCCTGCACACGAAGTGTGGCGAAAGCAACTACCGCATCATCACATAGCTCCTGCTCTTACTCCTGCTTAAGCCGGCGTCCATTACAAATACACAGCTTTTCCATTCATGTTCAGAACCCTTGCAGAGTCAATCCTGATGCTGCGGCAAGCCTGTCGCAGGGGAGGTGGGGGACGCCAGGCCCGGAGGCTCAGAGACCTCTGGCAGTCACAGGCTAGATGCCATGCTGGAGGATCTACTATTTACATCTGTTTACTGTCATGGTGGAGGGTGAACTGAACTCGCGGCTGAATGCGGTTGCGTGCATCCTCAAGCTTGGCACTGGCCACCCGGCCTTGTCGTTCTCCGAGCTTTGGGCCCCAGCTTCCTGGGAGCAGCTGACTTAGCATATCTATGCAAAACCTCTGCCCGTGGCAGAGCTTAGTTTGGTGTGAGCACGCCTGGAAACCTGTCTGAGCCAGAGACCCATTCTGAGAGCCTGGCGAATCTTAGGTGCCGAGAGGCCACTGGCAGCTTTGGTCCAGCCCTGGCGATCGCAGAAGTGAGAAGTCTGAGAAGTGTGGAGCACATCTGAATCTCTTCATTGCAAAGCAAGAGCCGGGGTCTCAGCTCAGATTGTTCGGATTGATCGGCGGATGAAGAGCTCGGCTTCTCCTGAGCAGTCAACCACCAAATCAGACATCATTCCACGATCCATGTTAATGAAAGCTTTAACTCCCTGATGTTCCGGGCTGTTCGCGGATGCAACTTTCCCAATTTCTCAAAGATGCTAGTGGACAGACATTCCTTCGCTGTCATCTTTGCGCACTCACTCCGGGTTTCCCTGGCGCTGACGTCCTGCCCCTTGAATGCTGAAAATGTGGATTGTAGCTGAATTTGTACTACTGCATCGCTTGTGCTACACTGTTGAGAGCTACTTCACGATTGCACAGCTCTGCTTTGTTGAACCTTCCTGCACTAGTCCGCCGCACGTAGATCCTGTGAACAAGCTCACGAGAACAATGTCAGGCAGGGTCCTCACCACTGACCGCGCTCAGCATCCGCCTGATTATAAGGTTGTTTTCATACACTCCCGAACGTGCTGCTCAATCCATCCACACAAATGATACCCACAACCGAAACGGTGCAGTGGGAGGCATCACCAACAAGCTAGGCTGCAGGGCCTTGCCAGGCCCAACATCTCCTGGTCAGGGGCGTGACATTCAGTGTTGGGCGCTTAAGCTGCTGAGGCCGCAGAGTTTAAGGTGAAGGTCAGTTGGCTCTTAAGTTCCAGAAGCCCTCCCAGACTGCGCTGGACACAGCTTTACACAATGCCTTCTCATAGCCAAACCAGAGCCAGGTGGCCTCTATTTGCTCTGACTCTGTCGGCGGGGGAGCGGCGGATTCACTGTCGTCGCTCTCTCCACCGGGTCAGGTGCATTCGCTTGAGCCGGCTAAGCTGCAAAAGGGAGGTCACTCTTAGGTGGATGTGAAAGGGGTAGGGCAGGGTCGAGGCAAGCGTTGACCAAACACCATGTACAAAGCAAATCTCAAGCCCGCAGCAGTTCTAAGCTTTTCACTTTCTTAAAGAGCTGGCAACAACCAATTGATGAAAGGTTCCCCTCTCCCGACCGGAAAGAGTTTGCTAGTGGCACGGCTATCCTGCGCGCTAAAACTGGACATGCACAGTTGGGGTACTGTTGCACACGCCTTTGATTGAAAACACTTCCCACCAAATTCTGCCCAATTCCTGATCTCACTGGGTCAGCCACTCGGCGAAGGGCGAGGCACCAAGGTGAGAGCGCTAGAGCTGCAAGGACTTCTAATTCACAATGTGCTGCAAGCCTCTGGCATGTGTGTCTGAGCAACTGGGATAAAGCTGAGTGCAAGTGAAGAGGAGTTGCTAAAGCTTCCTGATCTGCAGCTCAGGCATGGCACAAGTCTGGGACTACTTGATAGCTGGCTACTGACCTGACTGACCTGGCTCCTGGAGGGGCGGCGGTAGCACCAAGCACAACATCAGCATGTCCTCAGCCCACCCTTGGCAGCCTTGGCATAGTGAACAGCTCAGAAGAAGGGCAGATCACGGTCAATGCCATCAAGCCAGCAAAGCTCTTGCTCATATATGGTCTTGGGGATAATTCCTTACCCTGCAGTCTGAGCAGCAATGGCAATATGACAACATATTGGTAGAGAAAATAATGCGGCGGAAATTGATGTGCTGGGATGCGCTGGGGGGCATCACCAGGTCCACAAGCATCTCTTTAGTAATGACTGCTCCCCATGTAGAGGCTGCACAGCATGCATTTTCCGTAAGTCAGGCTGCCAAGGCCTCGCGAGGCCTTCTCTGTACAGCCGGCCTCATGGTGGTCTTTGATGCGCTGAGTCCTTCGGCTGGACTGAAATACAACCTGGGTCTCTCTCTTCCGCGGGCTCAGCAAACCCGGAGGACTCAAAGTCGCAAACGGGGCGTGCAACGACAAGTCGGTTGCCACAACAGCATAAGGCCGCCAACATGGCTGAAAGAATTACATCCTCCAATTGTCCCCGTAGCTTTGCAGTCTGCAGTAGCAACGTGACAAGGTCAAAACTCGGCTGTGAGACTGGGAGCCTCCCCAACTTGGAGTGCCCCCAACAAGCTTCTCAATCGGAAAAGATCCGGCCATTCAGACCATCCACTGTTCCGAAGCATGCGTTAACAGAGAAAAACTGTCGGCTCACTTGCCCTTGTACTCCTCGATGGTTTTTCTGATTTCCTGATTTTTGATCTGAGAAGATGGGTTTCTGAGCAGAGCTGACCTAAACATCTCAGGATGGGTCCCAAAGCTGAAAATGTTACCGCTGCCAAGTCAAACTGCGCCATTCTGGGCTGGACTCTGAGGCTTTGGCTGCCAGCACGAGGGGCTGCAGTCCCTGGCCAGCGGGCTTAACGAAGGCATCCAGAACCTGACAGCTGCTGCGCAGCAATTGCAATCCCTGCAGTCAAGCTCTATACAACTTGTGCATACATGTATGTTAGCTTCGTGCAGCAAGAATATGGTCCGTTCCAGCCCGCATGCTCGGTCATGCAATGTGTCGTCTCTTTCTGCTTGGATGTTTTTTGGGCTATTCTTCCGGTAGTGGTCTGGTATGGGCATCTGCCCCAAGACCCTCTAAAGCGTCGCAGTCTGTCAAGACAGGTGTTTGATGCTGAAGGAACCAAGGACAATGCACAAGGACGGTTGCGTGTCCAAAAAGAGCAACGTAATTTTTTGTAACTGCTGAAGTAGGGCTGGCTGCGCGGGCAGAAAGGTCTGCTGCCATAGGGAGGCCGGCCTTTTGCAAGCCAAGCCCTTAGCCAGACCTCCAAGCCTTAAATCTGCCAACGCCAAACCCTGTAGCCTCAATGCGCTCAAACAACACTACCATGTAAATGCCAGTGCACAGCGGTTCCGAATACAAGGCCTGATTCGGAAAACCGATGCTGCTTCTTCACCCTCTGTAGCAGAGGTCCAGAACTCAACTAGCAGCGCGTTCGTCTAGTGACTCCGAGGCCAGCAACCAGTCGGAGCCTTCTTACCAAACGCACTGGGAAACTTTCAGCAGTTGCAGCTGTGCAATAGGACGAACAGAGCAACGGTGCAAGCCCGCCTTCCCGAAACTGGCCCTTTGTCCTTAAACTATATGTAACCCACCACTAACCAAGTGCTGGACCTCCCGAATTGCTGGCGGCACATCGGACGCGGGCTCGTTCTTGACCTTGCCGATCCAGCTTCTCGGAGACGGACTAGATTAGACGAGGTCAGATGGTTTTGCAGGCAAGTAGGAATGCATGCTTCAAGGAGCCAAGAACGCTAAGTAGACCGGCCTCTGGATCGTCACCATCGCTTGTGACCTGCGCACCCAGTTGCTAGCAAATGCACCATGCTCAAAGGCGCCAATGGCTTGCAAATAGCTTCGAAAAGCACATGTTTTTCACCTATTCAGTTTCAACTCCTTTGTGCAGTCTGAAAGTGAGTGCAGAGGTGTTGCTGTGAAGTGTGGGATACGACCTCCATGCTCCCAACCGTACAGGCCCTGCAAGCCTCCGTGAAGGCGAGTTTGCCAGTACCTGAAGAGCTGCCCACCTGCCAGAACCAACCATGGCCAGTGCCGAAATCCATACTTTCGCTTGTAGAAGAATAATTCCCGCTCATTGCGGCAGGACTTAGACCATGCGACAGCGCATCTGCTGAAGAACACGTGTCTCAGAACTAACATGCAAGCGGCAACCCTGCAAATGCACCGTACGCAAGCAAACAAGCCCGCAAGCAAACAAGCAAGCCAGCAAGCAGAAGAGGTAAGGTTTTCAGGAGCGCCTGCCCTTGCTCCTGCACCTTCTCTCACATCGGCGGGGCAGGGCAGTTCGAGGAGACAAGCAAGCAAGCAAAACAGCATCAAGCCGACACACCCAAACATGTTGAAGCTCTGAGCGTTTAATCTGGTATCTCACAAGCGGAGAGAGGCTGATATCGAAGGACGCAATTCGTTCCTCCCTTAGCTTAGGGTCGTCGTCGTCATCGTCTTCGTCGCCTTCGTCGTCGTGTGCCAGATAGTGGGGATGCGGCAGCGCATTTGGAATGATGGTTCGGTCCCAGCTGAGGATATTGGTCCCGTCGTCTGCACCAAAAGTTGGGGATAGGGTCCAGTCCCAGCGCTAGACATTGAGAATGCCTACCACTGGCTTAAGGATATGTGCGATGCCAAAGCAGGGTGTAGTATGTTCATGGTAATAGGTATAGGGTCCGGTCCCTCTGGCCCCTAGCAGGTACAGATTCTAGCGTCCCAAAATCCATCCCTCCTCACAGCACGAAGCCGATTCCCCCTGCTGTGCTTTATGAATTGACAAACAGGGGGCGCGAACGCACACGAAAGACTGGGAACATGATGTCCATCACCTGATGTTGCCCTACCAGCCTGCAAAATCTTCGCAGCCAACCCTGAAATGCACAGCTGCGAGCCGCACCTTCGCTTCGTACTCCACATTGAAGGAGACATCCATAAGGTGCCTACAGACATCCGAAACAGCAGGGGTCTCCTAGCTCTGCATTCGACATTCATCAAACTTCCCAATTGGATTTGAAGCCCAGAACCAAGCACATAGAAAGTCCCTGCTTGGCCGAACGGCCTTCGTTTCCCTCTGGACACGGAGATGGAGCAGTCACCCTTCAACTCCGCCTTGCGAATTGCCAGGTATGAGTGACGTTGAGTAGAAGGCACTCACAGGGATGTCGTCAAGCGCAAGAGCCCAGGAATAGTTGGTTTAACAAAGCCGGTGTTGCTCATCTGAGTGCATCTTCTGAAAAATATGATATTCAGGGACGCTCCAATTGCTTTTCCACTGATCTGGTAGGGCCACAACCACACCGGTGGCTGAGATGCTTCCTGGCGTGGCATCGCTCAAAAATCATCAGATACAAGTTGATGCCCAATGAATGTCTGAATGCTACACTAGCAAGCATTTCCGAATGGCAGGGGTATGGGCCTTGACCCCACAAAAGCAAAAGCCAAAATTGTAGTGAAGACACTGCACCAACCAGCAAAAGAAGCAAGAAGAGGCAACATGTAACAGGCCAAGAAGATTGCTGCAACAAGGTCTTTCTGCAAAGTGCCCAGAGAGGAAACTAAGAGCTTTCAACACTTCGTAGCAGATTAAGCCTCAGCGATGCTTTTGCAAAGCCGTTCCTGCGGCACAGGTCTGTTTCAGGCAGCAGCAGCAGCAGCAGCTGCGGCATCTTTAAAATTGCCTTAGATAGCAGTCGTCCTTCGGATCCCAAAGCCTTCAGATCCTGGCCTCCTAGTGCTAGACACAGACCTGAGGCAAATGACGACACGCCCTCAAACGAAGCCGTCACGTACAGATAATCACAACCTCTTCTGACAGGTCTCAACCCATTCACATTGCAAAGTCGCCTGTTCCCAGCCCCCTGGAATCTGAAGTGAGTTGAGTGCACGCTTGACCCCACGCCCGTCCGTCACTATGCGGCAGATTGAACTTGAGGCCAATGAGACCACTCTTCAAGCCTTGATTGTGAACTGTGGGGGGCAGGCGAAGTGGTGGCACAGGTTAGATTGGCTGATAGATCAGACGATACAAGCATTGATATTCGAACTTGCATTTTCCGAGATGATTCCTGTGATGATTGGCCCCTTAGCTTGGCATGTTGAGCTTAGGGATCACGAACTAATTCAGAAATTAATTTCTTGATGCTCATTGCTAGGGTCTCACCATCTGAAGGCTCTGACGGATGCACGAACATGACGATAATGACGACAATGATGATGATGTTGATTGTTGATGATGATGATGATGATGGTTGGTCAATGCTGCAAGACCGCCTGTCACAATCTGCACTCCACTTACACCGGCTCCATGGGACTGAGAGACAAAAAGAAAATTGTTAGCGTTTGCAAGAACTTGCTGCTTGTGGCTCTGCGTGCCTGAGATGTTGCTTCTTCAGTCGAGAGTCGATCCTCAAGCCACTTCGTCATGCCTTTCTCTTCATAGGTACCAGCCTGAACCACAGGCAACTACAGCAACTGCATGCGGTACGCGCTTGATTGGGGAAGAAGCATCGCAGGCTGCTGGCTGGCACCTCTCTCATTCGGCATGCGCACTGCATGGCCTAGCTATAGGATCCGTGAGTCAACTGCAGAGCACCTCTTGCATCTCTATGGCTAACTGTAAAAATCAACTTTTTTGACACATCCTGCACATGCCGTCAGCCATGGTTCAGAAGATGTCAATAGCATGATGTGCACACCGTTGCCCAACGCAATGCCTGGTTCCACTGGCTGCCGCCTCCCTTGATGTCACCAGCCTGCACGGAGCGAAACAAGATGGAACTCGATCTGTTCGCTGGCTACCGCGTCACAAAAAAATCCAACGCCTGAAGACATGCAATGGGGCAGTCTACGGAAGACACAAGCACACAACTTCCTGAGCAGGATCCTACATGGGCAAAACCCTTGGGTAGCTTTGCTTGGAACTCAATGGGATCCGCCCAAAAGCCATCGCTGATCCCAACTAGTCCTGCAAAAAGCAATAAGCCGTGCATGATGGTATTTTCTTTGGAATGATGTTGTTTTCAGGGAACCGCCAGCAAGATGGATTTTCGTTTATTTCATGAGCTGCAAACAAGTGAGCCAATATAGATACTAATACTACAACTTCGTGCTGCTCGATCTCCTTGCAGGCGGGTTCGAGATTCAAGAATTTTCTGGAATTGACTTTGGATTGCTGAACATCGGTTTTGAAGCCGCCGCGGGGCCCTACGTGACAAACCTCACACTATTGAGGGGTTTCAATCCGGGTCGGTCTCTGTCAAGCCATTAAGATACAAGCGAAGGGGGGAACGGGCTTCATCATTATGAGCATGAAAGGATTTCAAAGAATGAGCCCGCTAAAGATGTTGCGACCTGGCCAGCAAAGTTGATGCTGTTGGCTGCTGGCTCATATAAGTGACCGAGCCTCCACAGGGGCATCCAGTTTCTGAGGCTTTCCGAAGCCTTGCGCCTCAATAAGTTTCTTCGCCTTCGGCAAGCGGTAATGATGGCTTTGGTCCAGAGTTCAAGAGAGAACCCTTGTGCGAGGCAGTCCTACAAACGCTCACCTCTTCGCTGATGTCTGTGTGGAAATAAGAGGTGGTCCTTCCATCCTGCAACACCGGAAAGCTGCCAAATGCTGCGAGAATTGGCTGCGGTAACTGAGAGCCCTTACCATCGGAAAGCGACCAAGGCACGGCCGTCTTCTTATAGCCGCGAAACTCGCTGCTCTCGTTCTCCTTGTCTGCATTGTCCTGGCCCGTGAAGAACATCTGCTATGGCCAACATGGCCAGCCGTTGGCATGGTGCTATGCCATGCCTGCCTTGGGCTTCGGAGGGGCACGTGCGGTGGAGGCGTTGTGAAGCTCGACACGAACATCCTGGTCAAGACGTTTTTCAGTCATTGTAGTGGCCTTGGGTGAAGTCACATGTGTTCAACTGCGCACCGTGAAGGTCCTGGGCATCAGCCTTGAGCCGCGCCTTGTCGGCTGCGTCCTTCTCCCGGTCCTTCTGTGCCTGTTGTGGGAGCATAAGGACAAGGGCTTGCTGAAGGCATCCTTTTTGAAGCGGTACGGGTGCTGGAAGCGCGAGGCCTTCTCGATAAGCTCTGGGAAGGCCTTGTTGTCAGGCTCCAGCTTTGCACCCTCCTTCCACATGAGTAGGAAATGCAGAGGCCAGTCTACTTGCTGACTTTTGTGGACTTGTCGCTGTGGCAAATGGCCACTCGAGTAATTCAGGGAGAAGGGTATGTAGTCTGCGGCCAAGCGCATGAAGGCTTTTTTGATTTCCAGTCTGATGCCAATGTCAACTCGTTGAAGCCGGGCCTCTGCTGCCTTGATAGCATCATCCCACTCCGAGAGGCGAACCAGCGCCTTCCAAATGAGTTGAAGGCAAAGCCTCCTCCTTCGTCCAGAGACCCCCTCACGTGGCCCAGGGCCCGGTCCCGATTGGCGAGCCTGGGCTTTCCGGTGGTAAGCCTTCACAAACTTGGGGTCCAGCTCTATGCCTGCAAGGTCAGATGAGCAAGCTGGCAACAGCTGTTACCTGCAGGCCACACTTTGGCAGCTGAGCTGATGGCATTTATTTGCATCTTCGAGAGCGCCCTCAACCTGTCCGTGACATTGCGACACTGAAAATGTCAATGTCACAGAATCAGCGTAAACTCCGGCGTGGGCGAAGCCTTGTTGAGATTCAGTCTTACCATTGAGCGGTTGGAATACCTGCAACATAAACAAGGATCGCAAGAGCATCCTGTGCAATGTCACATCGTTGTAACACGCGTTGTGTCTGCAGCCAGACCAAAGGCACTAGAAAGCAGCTTTAGACTCATGCTTGAAGACGTTCCGAAGCCGGGGCAACAAGCATGCGATGACGAAAACTCACTATAAATCAAAGATAGTCATGCATACAACCTGATGAACAAAATGAGTCTTAAACCCTAAGCAAAGCTCTTATGCCTCAATCGGATTCAATTGGACATTAGCCGTCGGCTTTGGAAGATTTAGGATGCGAGGGCAGGGTAGACACTTTCCCCCAATCCCTCTGCTCAAATCTGGCATTGAGCTCTGAGGTGTTTGTAGCTTCGGTTTTCAAAAGTGTCTCGGGGCCCTGCAGGGTGGCTTCCGTCTTGTCGGGCATAGAACTCAACAAGGAGATGGCCTGCGACAGTACTATCTTCATCTGCACTATGATTCCTAACGATGCTTGAACCTTGCTGGCCTGTCATACCATCAGCCCCAGGCTGAACCTAGAACCAATGACTTCGCTGAAACCGGTACGAGCAGCCCTCTGAAACGGGTGAACTTTGTGTTGGGTATGCTTTGGTGTTTGTGGGTGTCTTTTTGGGGTGGTATCTTTTTTTTGACTGGGGGCCGGGACACCTCACACAAGAGCGCGATTCTGAAGCGAAAGATGTGAAGAATTACGAAAATAATGTAAACTGGCAGAGAACGATAGAAATGAGGAAACATCATGAAAAATGATGAAACATCATAGAAGTGATCAAGAAAGATCGAAAATTATGAAGATAATGAAAGTGATAGAAATTGCGAATGAAAAAGATGGAAAGTGATGAAAGCATGAAACATGATGAAAAATGATGAAAATCACGAAACATGATGAAAGATTATTGAAAATGATGAACATCATGATAACTGATGAAACAGGTGAAAAGTTTTGCAAATCATAAGAATGATGGAAATCATCAAATGACATGATGGAGAAGACATGATAAGATATGATTACACATCTGGAAAATCACTGGAAAGTGATGAAATGATGAGGAATTATGGCAACTGGCGAGAACAGATGAACATGATGAACAGACAAGGAAATTGCTGAAAATCACGGAAGGATGTGATGAAAGATGATGAGCAGTGAAAAAGAGCAAAATGATGAAACAATATGAAAAATCATGGAAGTCATGAAATGATGTAAAACGAAAGACAATTGCAAGGGTGGATGGCCTTGACAAAGCGAAGGGCGCCGTTGGGGGGCGCGGGAGTGGGCGCAGCCCCACCCCATTTGCAATCAATATGATCCGCACAGCGCACAACCTCCCCCCTGCAAACCTAGTCATGACCTGGATGGTTCAGAAAAGCGGGGGTGTTGGGGGGGGCGGAGCCCCCAAACAACATGATCCGCACAACCATACATGACTGCAAACATGGTGATGAAATGATGCTTCTTTTCTCTCGCAAACATGGAGGGCATAAAGCGAGGGGTTTGGAGGAGGTTTGGGGAGGGGGGCAGAAGTAGGACCACAGGTCCTGCGGACCGGAATGATTAGAGGAACCGCAGAGGGGAACCAGAACAACGCGAGAGCACGACGGAAACAGAGGACCAGGACTGAGCCACATTGGAAAGCTTCAAATGCTGTAAATTACAGCGTTTGCTGGTCGTGAAGTGTTTCAAATGCTGCACATTACAGCATTTGCTGTTCTTGGAACGCTTCAAATGCTGTAAGTTATAGCATGTGCTGGTCTTGGAACGTGTCAAATATTGCAAGGTACAACATTTGGAACGCTTCGAATCCTGTACATTGCAGCATTCGCTACTCTGGGAGCATTTCAAATGCTGTGAGTACAAGATTTGAAAGGGACCGGGGACCACAGGATGACCACAGGACCACAAAACCAAGGGACCGAGAGAAAAACAATGTAAAAAGTAAAATCGGCCATCCCTCAGAAACTGCGCAGTGATACAAAGCTGCGTCAACCCCACAAGTCCGGATAGTCCAGTGCCCCCTAATCACCCTAGACAGCCTGCAAATTCCTCCGGGCAGAATCTCTGCTAGCGGTACTACGAGACCTATACTCCAGCTTCGGTATATTAAGCCTCCCTGCGGAAAACCCAGAACATTCACCAAAGCCATCAATGAGCGGCTGGTCTACTTCTACCAGCAAACTCTGTTGCCAAACAACCAGTTTACGGAAGCTGACGCTGACAGATTGAAGTAGAATCTTAGGCCTAGAAAGCATGCTGAGCGCACTGAGCACATATCACTCCTATCTGGCACAGTCTCAACTAGGCCCAGACACAGATGGAGCACACGCTCCAGCCGACAGGCCTTTCAGCCCTTTTAGCCTATCCCTCTCCCAGACTCCCAGCTTGGCCTTGCCATAAAGAAGTTCGGCGCTAGGCATGTCCTGGTAGATGTCCAGCAATCTCAGCAGGAGACAGTCCAAATGCAGAGGTCCTTCTGCGCGAAGGCGCCTTTGGCTCGATTCTTAACCTCCGGCAAAGTCTCGGAAGTCGATTCGTGTAGCTTCTACAAGAAGTTCATGTGCGAAAAGCCTAGTCTCTTCTTGGTCCGTCCTGTGTTTTGCACAGATCTCTAGACGTTCAGCGATGTACCAGCTACTGATCAATGAGGGCCAATCCCTCTGATAGCATGGCTGACTGATACACTAGACGACGCCATCTAAGTCCCTATTGCAATGGCTGGCAGTACCGCAGTCCAGCACTCCAAGCTGATCACTATGGAATCTCCACCTCCTCGCACAGGCGGAGCTTTGCGGCTTCATCGGCCGGCTCCTGCCCCAAGGCTGGAGCACAGGGAGTGGAGAGCTTGGTGGAGTGTGGCACTGCAGCCATGTGAGAGTGGAGCAAGCTTCAACCTTTCAAAAACATGCAAGGCACTGGCCACGATTGAATAGGCATTCAGCAGAGATCCTCGTTCAGCACATCCGCATGGCGGTTGTTGGCATAGGGATTCCCAGCAGGGCCTCAGGCTCATTGGGAATCATCGGGGCAAGCAGCCCTGTGAAATGGAAGCCCAGGCCAAGCCTCCCATGGCCGCAGGCCTTGCGGATTCAATTTCTTTGGATCCTATGGGAGCTCAAAAGCTGCGGCGCATGTTTAGCCCTGGTGTCAGGTTACATGCCGGCCAGAACTCGCAATAAAGTTGAGAGCGGACATAACATGACCCAACATGTGACTTTGCTGTGCACATACCTATGACGAGTTTGAGTCTACAGTGTACAAGCAGCACGCACCTTCAAGCAGGTTGCTCAAGACTGAAGCGAGACCGAAGACGGTAGCCATCTCTACTTGATGCACTTTGAGATGCACTCTTTAATGTAGATGCTTTCAAGAGTCGGGCGAATTCTAGTTTACCGAGGCTGGTCCAGCCTGAGGGCGTTTGGAACCCTCTAAAACACCCTCTACTTTCCTGCAGACCCGCTCAGCCGCTAGCAACCCACCCCGCCCCCCTCCCGTGGTGTGCGGCCCAAGTCAAGCTCAACGGAGCAACAATGAAATTCCAGTACTTCCAAGGCTTGAAACCTTGCGACTAGGGTCCGATGATCATTCAATTACCTGCGTCTGTTTGGCAGCACCTACTACCATCACCCACACATGCAAGACCCTCCATTGGCCTGGTGTACAAGCATAAGTAGATGTTTAACGACTTGACGTCCTTGAACTGTCCTGCAGGCTTGTGACTCAGGAAAGACTGTGAAATCCTGAAGATAGAATTTAGCACCATAACGCTCTTTGAATGCAAGGGAAAACAACAATCCAAGTGCTGCCAAAGCCTGCTCTGGAGGCGCAAAAACAGATCCTCGGTTACTAGCTACAAGACTCTAGTCGCTGGATGCCGAGAAATGTAACCTCAAGCTTTCATTTTTCCCCACTGAACCGCACTCCTGCATGAACCTTTTCTCGTTTTACTTGCGCCATGGCACTTGTCAGAACACGTTTGCTGTGGAACACAGCCGCAGATCTTCCAAATTCTGGTCCGCGGCCCTCGATGCACTACCCTATGAACAACCTGAAAGTCGAATTCACGTTTCTGCCCTCACTCCTTCGGAAAACAGCAATAACCAGGTCCGTTCAAGACCTGTCTAGCTAAACTGGAGTCTTGCGAAATGCAGACCTTGGCGGCAATCCCAGGATCGCAGCCGCTTCGACGGAAGATAACGAAGATGCGCTGATGGAACGACCGTTTCGGTCTCCTCGGCTGCCAAAGGATAAGCGTCGAAGAGACCGATCCGAGGGACCAGAGGCTGCTCCGGAGGGCGATGAGCGCTGGCTGGGCGAGACTGGTGAGGATGCTGGAACCTTCTGCAGAGGCAACCTGTCTGTTGCCTTGGGCTGCGGTAGAGGCTTGGATTCGTGCACCGGCTGCAGGACGGGGAGAGTCGTCCTAGCACGATGAAGCACGGGAGGTTCCATACCCTCTGGCACGTAGATGTCATGCTCCTGCATTTCAACTCACTTGGACTCAGAAAGAAACTCCCAGGCACAACGGGGTGCATCCTAAACTGCAGGGTGCGTGACCCAGCTGAATATCATGACCCCAACCGGATCGCCTCGCGAGGAGGTGCCACGGCACTGTTTGATGGCGCACTGAACGAACGGGCAGGCAGCTGCCCGGGCTGCCCCGCCTGCCCCTCCTCCCACAGGGATGGCTGCTAAACCGCCCTTTGGAAACCTGTGCCTAGAACTGACTCCAAAGCAGGGAGTTGAATGCCTAAGTTTGGACCCCTAGCACATCGACATCATCAATCATTTCCGGCCCTACAGCTTGCTGATGCTGGCCTCCATGGACTCAAGCGATGGGGCGGCTGGGGCTGCATCTGCCTGCTGGAACTTCTTGACAATGTCAGGGGAAGGTGTGCAAGTTTGCTCCGGCCATCGCGGAACGAAGTTGCTGTCGGCCGGGGCCTTGCGAATCTGATCCTGATACCACTGAGAGAGCTGCTCCTCTTTGCTCAGCTCAAACTCACGCTGGAGGCGCACACCAGCCACTAAACAGAAAAACCAAAGGATAGTGAAAATCCACCGAGATATGGTGGAGCACGCTGCCCGTGGATCATGCGAGAGAATACGGCCCATGTGCTCAATGGGCGTCTCGTACTTGGCATCCGCCGGGCCCTGAAGTAGCGTCCATATTAAGCACAGCCACCAGTGAGCGACGAGAGCCAGCCCGGCGCTGCCTGGAAAGGCAAAACGGCGAGCCCTGCATCGTGTCTGAAAAATGTCTGGATTTCCCCTCTACAGGTGCCTGCTAAGGATGCCAGGAGATGCAGTGCAGGCTTCCGGAAGCGAAGGCACAGGCAACCGCCTAGCAGACCCGCCTGAGCAGAGCAGGGGGTGGTCATTCAAGACATCATGAAACTCATTTGAAAAAAAAATGTCATCTGTCTGGCTTCAGGATAAGGCGTAGCCTGTACACCGTAACTAAGATTTCATGCAGCCATGGAGCAGACAACTGCCACCAACAGGTGTCAATATGGCTTGAGCCACTTCCTGGGTGTGCCTCATTGGGCACATGCAGGGCAACAGTCAGCTGCACGATATGCTGGGCCATGATGCCTCAGCTCTCAGCTTCGCTCACAGGTTCAAGGACCGGGTTCGGTTAGGTGGAAGTGGATTTTACTAACGAAGCTTCAAACCGCAAAAAAGCTGACAACTGCATTTATTTGCTCATGCCGCACCTGACATCTCAGACGTGTATCGACAGCGTAAGAAGCACCACGCCGTAGCAACAGAAGCAACAGCAACAAGATGGCAAACCTAAACCTGCCCACTCCATCTGTCCAAGAAACTTGCTAACGCGCCCAGGATGTATGCCGCAGCTTCAGGGAAGAGTGCCTCAAAGCAGTTGCACGGCAATTGGTCATTAAGGCTTAGGCTTGCTCGCACAATCTGCATTTACATGTGCCACTAGCCCCACTCTTCAGAATCAGAAAAACTCAAAACCAACAAAGCGCCCAAAACGGAGGCTGGATTCGAAGGGCTCATAGAAGTCCAGTCTACAAAACCTGAAAGACTTCTCACATAGACGCCCAGCTACGAAAAAGGTGCCACCCTGGCAGGCAATGGCGGCTGCAAACTGAATCGATTTCTGGACTCGGACGTGCCTTAGATGGAAATGATGGGCGCTTGAGCAATGCAGCGGACGAGCTGAGGAACTGAAAGTGTACAGTGTACTGGCCTCATCGTGCTACACACCTTTTAGAAAGGTCTAAGATTGAATGCCTCGTATCGTTCAGAATAGCCTCCCACGCAGTGTCACAAACGGTTTTGGACACACATCCTGGCACTGGCATTGGTTGCCGGCGACAAGCTTCCATTCGCCCTCTCAGCTGAGCCACCCGAGACCAAGAGAGGGTGCAGTTGCGGGATGCAGCACCCAACCTCAGATGTTAGCACTAAGCCCTCATCAATTACTTGCGGTTCGCAAGACCACACGGTGCCAATAGCTGAGTCAAAGGTTCAGAGACTAATCGCTGCCCCGATGGCGAACCAGCAGGCAACCTGTCAAGGCCACGTCCAGGTTTCTGCACATGTCCTGAACCTTCATGAAAACCGTGCTGTGATTCAATATCCACATTCATGGTGGTTGGTTGACCAGGAACACAACCATCTGAAGTCCATCACGGCAAATTTTGCTCATGTGACTGATACAGCATCACACCATACCTTGAACTGAAGGTCCTCTCTCAGATCTTGCTTGCCTTCTACTTCAACTTCTGCCCCTCTCCCTCACGAGCTGGGCATGTGCCCAAACTCTGACCCACTGTTGAACAACATCCTCAAGTCAAGGATCCCAGCGCTTCGGAAGATACAAAACAACAAATCTTCAGCCACCTTTCTACCCCAATCATCCCCTATCTACCCCCTATCTACCCCCTCAAAACCCACTTACACACACCTCAACCGCCCCCACCTGGCAGGTCTTGGTGCTCTCGGCGAGGAGGAACCCCCCTCGCAAGAGAACCAGCGAGGCAAAGATGCCCAGGAGAAGCGCCTGGCAATGCCCCCAGAATATGAGGCAGATCTCTTGAGCGGCCATTGGGGACCACAGCATCTAGAGGGAATCCCGCTGTCAGATCTGGGCCTCCAATCAACGCACATGTTTCCAAATGAAACAAGTTGTTCACTCGAGTTGTCCAACACCTGCACTCAGACAACGCAAGCTGCACCTCGCCCTGGAAGCCGAAAGCGTTTGTGAAAGCGTTGCCGAGGGCAGATCCTGGGCATGGTCCGAGGCTCCAAGCTGATATTTGCAGAATTGAAAACGGTGGCCAAGTTAAACTTCTGCGAAGGCACGCAACTGGTAGGACCACACCTTCTCTGGAGACGGTGGCAGGTGTCGATCGGCGTCCTGCAAAATGCAGGAGATGACTTACATGGCCTACCAAAAAGCCAACTATCACTTCTCACATCTTCTCAATGTGCTCACCTCGTCAGCTCCAGGAACGAGGTGAACAAACTTGCGGAGGCTGTTGGCCACGAGGCCATCATCAGAAAAAGGCCGGACAAGTCCTGGCCAGTCCTTGGCTTAGCTTGAAAGCAACCCACGAAATCCATTTGAGCAGTCAGTTGGAGGGAACCCACATCAAACAGAAGATGTGGTGTCCAAGCGTCAAGACGCGAAGTCGAGAACCCCAAGAGCCAGCAGCCAAGGGTGCAAAGCACTATGGCTTGCATCCACTTTGTCCGGCGCTTGGCACGCTGCATGGCCCCCTCCATCCTGACTAGGACAATGTGTCAGGACGGCTGGTGGAAAAACCCGGAGAGTGCACAAGCACCAGGTCAAGCTTGGTTGGCTAGAAATGCTATTCACATACAGCTTGGATTTGATTAACGCTGGATGCGGTGCCATAAGATGGATTGAGATGCAGTGCAATGGTTCTGGCCAGCATTGATAAGAATGAGCCACTGCAGGCTGGGCAAAGCAGCATGAGCAAATACAGGCAGACTGCAATGTGGATGTGGCCACCATGAGCATCCCACAGCAAATCAATAGAGATGACTGGAGCCTACCTGCATCCAAGACTTGCAGGCCTCAAATGGCGCCTTCACAAGTGACGAAACTATCTGAGGATTTTTTCATCCGTGCCTCTGCACTCCAGGCCCTACGGCCAAGGAATCCTCTTTGGAACACTGCACTCTGGCAGCCGCTCTGCATCTCAAATTTCCAGAGCTGATAAGCAGGCGACTCCGAAATCGACCTGCTCAAGAATTATCTTAGTTCGTGGTGCAACACGTTCGTGTTGTCGCAGTCTTAACAAAGCGTGTTCTGTACACGGAAAGTACCTGGAACGCCCCAAAACCGAAGATCTCAGCTTCAGCATGGGGAACCCAGGCGAGTGGGGTGGTCCACTCAGAGCAATGCCCAGAGCAATGCTTTGCAGAGCTTGACAGAGCTTCCTCAAAACTTCTCAGACCTTTGCACACCTACAGAAACCAAAGCAAGATCAGGGCTGATGCGGAGAAGCTGGCCAAGAAGCTGGCAGATGAGGTGGTGCTGTCACCGCCGTTGCCCGATTCGCTGTTGCTGGTGGTGCTGGTGGTGCTGGTAGCATCATCACTTGTTGTAGCAGGGCTAGCAGTCTCCTCCTCTTCCTGCGCTGCAAAGGACTCGGTGACCACGGCAAGACGCCTCCCCAAGCGGCGCACGTTGATGTCGGTGGTTCCAAGGTCTGTGCTGAGGACGTCGGACAGGTCGTCGGTCTCAGTCTCGTTCAAGTCCTTCGTGTGCAGCTTGCAGGTATAGCGAGCAAGGCCCCAGACGATCCTGCACTCCTTGTCTGACACGTTGCGCGACCCCATGCTTGAGTTTGGCATGAAGCCATCTGAGGTCAGCTGTGCCCTGTCCGCGATTTTATCCTTCACAGCATCAGAACATTCCAGAGAATCCGTCAGGATCTCCAGCAGGATGGCGCGCAGCTTACGCAGGACGATCTCTCGGCCCTCAACCATGGCTTGGCCAAGCTCCTTGACCTTTTCGGCAACCTCTGCAGTCCACGCATCCTTGGAGCCGCTGATCTCCTCAAACTCCGCCTGGGCCATGGAGTCACAAGTAGCATTCAACTCCACACGGTTCTCCTGGCAGGCAGCCCAGGTCTCGGCTGCAGCCTTCATCTCTGCCAGCCTACGCACCACACCAAATGCCCTTTCCTTGAGACCGCTCTTTTTCAGCTCCTCCTTAGCCTGGTCTATGCAAATCTTCCTCTGGGTAGAATTGCAGGCCCTGGCCGCCGTGGCAACCACGTTGCGGTGGTACTTCTTGACGACATCCTCCACGTCTTCCTTCAGGCCGGCCATGCTGGCACCATCCCGAATCTCGTCACGGCAGGCCTTCATCTGCTGCTCAGTTGTGGAAGTCTCCATGCAGAGCTGGTACCGCTCACCAACGACCTCCACGGCTGCCTCCTCCTTGGCCCTCTTCTCCTTGTTCTGCTTTCGCTCGGTGGACATGCCCTGGAAGAGCTCTCCTGCGACTTCCTCAACATCCGTCATCTCATCCATACAGCGCTCGAAACCGGGCTTGTCAGATTCTCCCATGCACGTCCTCATGGCATCCTTCTCGGACTCCTTCACCAATTCCTGCTGGATGCGCTTCCGTTCCACGTCGTCAGTGATGGGAACTTTCCGAGCATTTGCATACACCTCGGTGGGGTCAGTGCAGCTGGCAGAGGCTTCCACCTTGCGAGCTGCCGCACAGCCACGGGCAGCCTCTTTCGCCGCGTCACGAGCCCCATCCATGTTCAACCTCTCAACCTCCATGTCCGAGAGGTCCTGCAGGCAAGGGTCATTCAACTAGCTTTCTGGGCCTGAGGGGTTGGTGCTTAAGCTGCCTGTCTAAGCGTCTAAGGGGCAGCAAAGGAAATATCGCAGCTCACATTAGAATGATTTATGCTAGAATCGTAGCTGTGAGTTAATTACCATGTTCGTGAGGTCCTCCTTGCTTCTGCCCATGGATTTGGCGGCCTCCTCCCGCAGCTTCTCCATACACTCCTCGCGGCTTCCTTGGCAGTCCTTGCTCACCTGCTTGGCCTTGTCGCGGCCAGCCTCCTTCAGCGCCTCCTCCATGTCGGTGCGGGATGGCGTCTCACCGCCACGGGTAATGCCAAGGACACCGCTGGAGAGTGTGGTCCGGCAGCTCTCCTTGGATGCATCATCCACAGCCTCATCCATGCACGCCCTCATCCTCTCACCGAGTTCCGTGGCCATCTCGTCTTCGAGGAGCTTGTCCACCATGTCATCTGCGATGGCAGACGCCTCGCGGCCAGAGACTGTGGCAAGCAGCTCCTTGGCCTCCATCAGGCAGCGTTGTTTGGCATCATCAGGGCAGGATTCAAGCAAGGTCCACATCTCCTTCTTGACACCTTCTTCGAGGAACTCGCGTACATCGGAATCTTTGACCTCACCCTTGCCTTTGCCCAGGCTGTTGCCAACAGCTTCACGGATGTCATCAGAATCAAAGCATCCCTTCTGCTTCTCATCCGTCTCGGCACGTCCCATGCACAGCCGAAGCTCCTCTGAGACCTCCTCTGCAGCGCCACGGCGAAAGAGGCTACGCAGCTCCTCTTCGGGCACCGATCCCAACGGCCTGCCAGAAAGCTTGGCTAAGGCATCCAGGGCCTCCTTGCTGGAGAGGCAAGCCTCCTTGGCCGCTTCTGTTGAAGCTGCCGCCGAGCACAAGTGGATGATCATCTTCGCCTTCTCCGCCGCAATCTTTCGAATCTCCCCGTCCAGCTCCTCCGGCTGCACCGTCTCGTTTTTGAGGCGCTCTAGGAGGTTCTTGACCTGCATCTTGCAGTCGGCAAAGGTGACATTGAGCTCCGTCTTGTTCAGGTCATTGGTGCAATTCTCCAGGGTCCCTAAGAGCACCAAGGGGGTGCCCTTCTCCAGCTCCAAACGCTCTTTCACAGCGTCTGGAGCTGCACCTGTGGAGTTCCCGAAGTCCTTGCGGCACTCCTCGAGGTTGCGGCCCTCCAAGCGGCAGGCCACCAGCTTCTGCTGGGCTTCCTCCCGCTCCTCGCGGATCTCCTTGGGCGGCTTGCGCAGCTCGGCATGCTGGGCGCCCGCCTCACCCAGGCTGCAGAGCAGGAGCACAGCCACCAAGAGCTTCATGCCACAAACGCGAAGTTGCAAAGCACTGTAACTAGCAGCTACCCACTGCAATACTCTCGAGGCCTCCCCTCTGAGCCGAGACATGCAAAATGCACCTGTAGACACATTGGGAGCAAGCAACCGCGGAACAAAGCCTTGCTTGCCTGCACTCGTGCTCTCTGTCCGCACTCAAGGGCCTTTTTTTCTCACAACTTCAGGTTTGCTGCCCGAGCCAAGATCTTGGCCCGTTCTTCCTGCAGTGGCATAACCAACAACGCTGCTTGCAGGGTGGGATGCTGAAGGGAGACCAATGATGTTTTTCTGACTGCATACCCTGCCTCCTCACGTTCCTGGCTCAGGGAACGTCTTTTCGAAGCCTGGCAAGGACGCAGGTCACAAAGATACAATTCTTCCTGCCACTGCCTGAAAACTTTCCCGATTGATGGATTCCAGGCCCCTGAGGTGAGACACGGCAATGCTCTTCTGCACCTCGTTGAGAACCTCCTGCACTATCGGCTGGTGTGCCTCCTGTGCAGTTCGCTTCAGTCAAGGCTCTTGACCAGTCAGCAACAAGCTGAGCTCCAGCCCCTTTACAGTACAGACTTCTTCGGCTCCATGCAATTCCTACAACTTCGCATCACATGATGGTATCATCTGCTTCAACTCGCACTTGCCAGACAATGTTCCTAAGTCAGCTCCTGCTCGATGATCACATCATCGTCGGAATCTTGGTTGCTGTCTTCGCCTCCACTTCACCAGAGATTACAGCCTGACGTACTGCCCAGAATCCATGATATACTGATATACTCCAAAACCACATACACCCACAGAAAGTGCACAACCAGACCCAAAAGATGTCAGCTCTCAGTCAAACACAGAATCATGCTTCGTTCAATCATCCAGGCCTTCACCCCAATATTTGGGGCGAGTCGACGGAGGCCTCAGCCCACATCTTGCATGATTGTTGCTTCACACCAACGTGTTGCGCCATCAGACCGTGTAAGCGTTGTGGAAGACTTGTTTGCAAGAGAAGTTGAGGACCGACAATGAAAGTAAAATCGAAACTCAACGGCATAGCCCATACAAATATGTCACAATATGTCAGACTCTGCAGCAGCGGGCCTCACGGCACCAACACGAGGCAAGCAGTCCGGCCCTGCCAGCAGCTTCACCTCTCATGGCCCCGCTGGCATCGGTAGCCATAGCAATTGCTGCAACATCTCAAACAGTCAGTCACACTCACCCACTTGAAGTGTCACACCGTGGTCTCATGAAGCTGGGAGTTGCACGTAAGCCAATTGCAGCTCTTGATGCTGCATAGTCAAGACCTGGAACAGAAAAGACGCTGGCTGCACGCTTTGTTTTATTGGGGGTTGACATGTGGATGCACGATGATGTGCAGGTGCGTGTGCTGTTGGAAATGGATGAGCCCGGACAGTACCCTGCATCTCCTGCCCTACTACGTGAACAGAAGTTTGGGTTCCACACCCGTCGCTCCTGGCAACAAGGAAAGGCTTTTAAAGCTCGATGCCAAGGTTGTCTGATCCGCACGCCTCGCACTTGGCCTTGCTGTGCGTCACAAGGGACTCGAAACCTGCAAAGGAATCAGAACTGTCCTGTGACACCTGCCAGTCACAGCTAGATAGAGGTGTGACAACTCAGCCGACTAGTACAGAATCCTGGAAAAGCTGTACATCATTGGACTTGCAGCCATGTCACGTGGCTTCAAATCTGGCCACAACCTCTTGTCGGGCGGGCCGGGTGTCAAAGGCAATAGATTCATGTTGGAGTTTGCTTTGAAGGTTATTTGCTTTCCAAAGGGTTTTGCTAGGTTTGCCAAATTCAGACGATTTCAACGGACTCTGCTCAGCAGTGCTATGTTGGAGGCGTAGGACCGGGGCTTACTTATCTGATGTTATCTGTGGCTTCCCTGGCCCAGACGGAAGCTAGGAGTGATTGGCCAATCAAAAACAGACTGATAAATGTCCACGAACAATCTTCAAAATTCTAGCAAATACGCAATCAAACAGCTTTTGGGAGAGTTTCGCTCGGGCTGCGGCTGCTTGAGCTCAGCAGCTGCGACGTTGCGGCCCTCCTGTCCAGAGCTTGCTTTTCCTTACAGCATCGTTTCTTCATGCTGAGGCTTCAGAGTTGGCTCTTGTTCTGCGTCCAGCCCGGGGATTTTCAGCAAAGACTGCTGTGCGAAGAAGACATCTATCACGGCTCTCTGTCTCCTTTTCAGCGCGCAGCGCTGCACGCAAACCGTGGCGCTGAGCCTGTTTAACAGTCTAGGGCAGCTTCTGAATCCAAGTCCATCTGCAAGGACCGGTGTCTGGAAAGCCCTCCAAGCTTAAGGTATCGCAAGTTGCTGGTGCATGTGCAAATGACGGAACAAAAGCATCGCGTTGCAAGCCAATTGTGCTTCATAGGCACCCCACCACTGCTGGCTGCCGCATCGCTAATGCATGATCGCGGATCGAGAACTAGGTCTTGCTTGCTCTTCCTTTAAAAGAAACTCGACGCTTATTTGCCTACGCGATCACTCAATACAACCATGTTTCCCTCAAGAACAATAAGGGTTGAAAAGCACAATACTCCCTCTGAACACAATGCTGTGGATTGCCCCAGGCGCCTTCATTTCACGGCGAAGCTCCTGAAGCCGGGGCGATCAGTCTCTGTCATGATTCCATGACACAATCAAAATGGCTTGTATTACCGCAACTCTCGGAGACTTGGAGGTGTAGCTCCATCAACTGTTTGGCAGGTACTAGCATGATATGTCTTTTCCTAGCCGTGAATCATTCCAGTGCTGTATGTTTAGAGACAAAACCCAACCTCCGTAATGCCGTAGCCTACCGTGTGCTTGCACCCACACGTTTTCGAGCTCTGTAGATCCTTGTCTCCAGTTCCTGCAGTAACTGATGGTCCTGAATTTGGAGCAGGGCTGCCGACACCACAGCTTTTTGAGGCTGCCACCATCGTGGCCTCGCGCAATTGCATGATCTTCGTGCTAGCAGCTAGCATACATAACTCGTTGCAACCAGATTTTCCAGCCAGCTGGCCCTCTTTACATCACTTCTCTCGACAGCTAAGAGAAGCGCCGGCGGAACCGCCTGGCAGCGGGGGGAGCCTCAGCAGAAGCGTGCCTTCGTCCCTACAATCCCTGCAACTCTGACTTTCGCCACTGAGACTGTCTTTGCCAACAAGTCTTGCAACATGATGACTCTTGCTTGCAAAGACGGCTTGTCAGGCCAGTACAGTCTGAGCATTATCCTGAGCGAGCTCCTCTGCAACGAACATGCGCAGAAAGCCAAAGCCAATGTAGCAGCTGCCACTGTCGCAGCACATGTTCAAAGTTAAAGCCAAATGGTTACCCCCCGCAGGAGCCAAACTAGAGATCGTCCTGCACAGTTGTAGCCGTCAGAGTCGAAGCAGCTGGCGCTGACCGTGCAACCTCTGGCATAGAGGTCGGCAACGCCGCGGCAGGCTCAGTATGATCAGGCAGGCTCGAACCTGAGTCCCACAAAATGCCAACAGCGACGATGCGTTCACAATCAGATACAAACACAGCTCTTCTTCTCTTTTTTTGCTGAAGGTTGTTCTTGGTACCGTTCCTGTCAATACTCTCTCTTCTTGTTGTTGGTGCTAGCATGCTGTCAGCTTGTTACTTCTCCATTCTGGATGCACGTTTGAGCTTTCTTAGGGATCTTGTTCAACAAGGCTTTTTATTGAGCACTCTTAAAATTCGCCTTCGCCTGCTCCAACTCTCCCTCCCCTCGCGCCACAGTTTCGT